ATAGGTCAGAAGTTTCATTTCAAGAATTTTAATTTTTGAATTCAAATGAAGCAGGTATAGAATAGCGAGCATTTTACTATTACAAATTTCACCAGAAGTTACGAGATTGTTTCCGGTAAAGAAGCAAAATCATGCCAAAGCTGCTGCCCAAATTCCGGAAGTGCAAAGCATTTTCGCTACACTTTCCATTCAGCTGTTTCTCAATTTATTCACAAAGCTGACCTTGAATTTTCATGTTAACGCAAACTTTTTGCAGTCTTCGTTGTTGTATCAAATAGGTATTTCTACTCGATCTAGTCTATTTGTAGCATCTTAGCTAATAGCGACAATTCTCCACACATTAGCGTTTTCTCAGGATAAAAGGATTAATATGCGAGGCGCTTGAGATAGGGATTTACGAAGGTAACAACATCCGTCAACTAAAGGAGGAGCAGTTCGCGGATTTCATTTACGTTGTATAGCGACTCTTGTGAGTTGGAGAAAAGAACCTCTAGCATTTAATGTAGAAATTAAGAAATTTCATGTATGCTTCTTATGTGGAACTTTGGAAGTAAGGGGAAAACTTCCTCATAACAGCAACATAATTTGCAGAGGGTTTTTGGAAGAAGCTAACTTCTGCGAATGAAGGATAGACTAGCTATTGAATAGTCAGACATTCAAGCTACCAATCAATAACAGAGCCGGTTTTGAACTTGGAAGAAATTGGTATTTGTTGGATTTTTTCCTACAACACCATTAGCGCAACGGTGTGAACGCAGAAGACACTGAACAATAGACCGGATTACCGTATTTAGTCTAATCCCTAAACATTTCTGCTAATTACATAAGTCAGAGCAACTTGCTAACGATTATCCATGAGGTACAAAGTGATTTTCAATTGATCCGATGCTCATTCTCACTACATCCGGCATTGTCATGGACATAACTCAAAAGCGTTTATCGGCCGGACGACGACCTCAATAACATGCCACACCTCTCTCACCTATTCATAAAACGAGCGCAGGATCACTAGATAGTCAATCAGCTTCAAAGCTTATCCTACTAATAAACAATTATAAAATATGTGAATGATGTGTCTATGAGAAAAAAAAAACAGAAGAAAAGGCACACTGGGAATGCAAAAAAGTAGGGCATTGGTTAACAAAGAGGGCTTTTGATAAGATAAGCCGGCAATGTTTAGTGATAGTAATAGAGCGAAAATAAGGTCATGGTTATAATACAATGTTTGCTGTAGATTTTGATAAGAAAAATTGGGAACCAGACATTAAGAAGACAAATAAAATAGTGTTATTAGGCTTACCTAAGAACAACTTAACATATATGTTTGACATAAACGATATGGATGACAAAGGACGTATTCTAAAGCTGGTAAGCGTAGATTGTCGCTAAAATTGGCTGAATTTGTAAATTTATAACCGTAACAATCTCTAT